TCTCTCACACACATACATTTTTCTCCTCTCATTTCCTACATATTTTTGTCTCCTGCTACGAATAATTCATTTTCCGTGTGTCGGAAAGGGTCGTAATTGATCTTGGAGTTTGCAGCTTTGCCTCCCGGAATGGTTTCCTTCGTAATGCAAGAATAAAACTCTGTTAGGTCAACCACACAGCAATAAATACCAGATGCACATTAGCCATAATATATTGGATTATTCCACCCACTGGTGACGGGAAAAACAAGATTTAATTCCCTCGGCAATGCAGCCAAAGAAAATCACTTTTCCTCGCTCGTTTCTCCCCTTCTCGTCTTTCTCTCTTTTTAAGTCATTTTCATCTGCTGTTCAAACTCCTGTCGGAGGTTGTGGCATATAGATACCTATACATCCTGAGCGTTCCTGCAGTGAAGAAGGAGCACAGCACTGCTGCAAGACTAAATTGTCCTCAAATTCCCCAGATGTCGCTTGTTCTCAGGGTTATGAATCCCCCAGCTCTTGGGCGGAGGCAGTGTTTTAAAGAAGAATGATCTGAAGGAAGCCGGAAGGAACATCGAAAGGTTCATACATGACACGCCGCTCAGGGTGTGTAATATGCACCAGTGGAGAAAGAACAAACTTTTACAGGGGACAGTGTGACCCAGTAGGTAGAGCTGGGCTCCCCAACAGGAGGCCCGTGGGCACCCATGCGCCCCTTGGACACCTCTTGCTGCAGGCAAGTTTCTCTCTTGCTGCGTGCAAATCCCTCCTGGTTTCTATTGCATTTCTTTGCCTTTTAAAATTACCCTTTCTTTATTTTTAATTATTTCTCTTTCCTTCTTAACTGGGAAGCTGGCAAAGGACTTTTCTTTCAGGCTCACGTGATCTTGGAAACAGAGTCTTCTGCGGCTAGCCGTGCCCACTGCGGCAGCCATTTTGTGCAGGGGAAGCCCCGCCCCCGGAGCCATTTTGTGAGGCCGCCCACGACACTCCCACAAAAATTCCGAACACCCTGCTCACCCCAAAACGTTTGGGACCATTGAGGCGAGAATGTCAGGCTTAGACCGGAAAGGCCTAAATTCAAACCCTTGCTCATTCCTGAAGCTTGGAAATGCCCGCCTTTCTTTCCCGAGCCCCTGTCCTTTGCTTCCTTAGATCACAGCAGAAGCTGCACCCAAACCATCTGCCACCTCAGTCTCTCCCTCAGAACTGCGCTGGGTGTGTGAGCTGCCCCCAAAACCCGTATCTGATTGTGTTTGCCGAAGGTGAGAAGCACACCAATCCCCCCCCGGCACTTAATTGGCTTTTTGTTCAGCAAGAGTGAGCACAATCGCATCCAAATCTTCATTATTTCTTCTCGCAGAGCAGGTCAACACGTGATCAGGCTGCATTTACAAAAGAAGCAGAAATGGCGGAAACCCTTGTCTTTGCCCCAGATTAGGCCTTGTAACTTTTCCAAGAATGTGCTTTGTGATGCCGGCGGCTTTCTTGGGATTCGGGAAGGAGCTCTTCCGCCCAGGTGTGAAAGGAGTTGCACAGGATTCCTGGAGAAATGTTGGAAGTGGAAGCCACACTTTCTGATCTGCACACATGCGCAGCTTCGTTGTTGTTGTTAGTCGCGAAGTCCGACCCATCGCAACCCCATGGACAACATTCCTCCAGGCCTTCCTGCCCTCCACCATCCCCTGGAGTCCACCCAAGCTCACGCTGACTGCCCCAGTGACCCCATCCAGCCACCTCATCCTCTGCCATCCCCTCCTTCTTTTGCCATCCATTGTTCCCAGCATCAGGCTCTTCTCCAGGGAGTCCTTCCTTCTCATCAGGTGGCCAAAGTCTTTGAGCTTCATCTTCAGGATCTGGCCTTCTAAAGAGCAGTCAGGGTCGATCTCCTCTCGGACTGACCGGTTGGATCGCCTTGCAGTCCAGGGGACTCGCAGGAGTCTCCTCCAGCACCGCAATTCAAAGGCCTCAATCCTTTGGCACTCAGCCCTCCTTATGGTCCAGCTTTCACAGCCATACATTGCAACTGGGAAAACCACAGCCTTGACTGTACGCACTTTTGTTGACAGGGTGATGTCTCTGCTTTATATGTGCAGCTTCATACCGGGGGGAAATCCGTACATTTTCCAGCATTCCCTCCTCCCTCTCCCGCTTCCCACATTTCCCTTCCAGCCCAGGATTGCGAGAGCCGGAAGCGCAGGCTGCCAGGGTGGCTGCCGGGTGAGGGAGAAATGCACAACAGAAAGACACACAATCACAGCCTTGAAGCACCTGGCAGGGCTTAAGACGCCAGCAAAATAAACTGCCCAGCGCCCTGAAGAGGAGGTAGAGAAATGGAGCCCTTCTCCATGGGGAAAAGAGACTCCTGGGAAACTGGATAACAAAGGTTGGCACCTTTTCCCTGGCGTGATGGCCAGCACATCCAGGAATAGTCCCCAAAAAGGGAAGCACAAGGGCAGGGAGGAAAGGGAAATGGCTTTGCTGCACCCCTGGCCACCAGTGAGAAATGTTTGGAGGGCTTCTCCTTCTCCTTGCCCCATGCCTTGACCCACAAATAAGGTGGGGAACTTTGAGAGGGGCCCTTGCGATCTCATTTCGGCCATTTACAGAAATGGCGCGAGAGCTGAGAAGCCATCAGAGGACGGGGGGGGGGGGCACGGACTGCCCCCGAAGCTGACATTTTGCACACCTGCTACACTCACTCACGTGGGACACACACAGGGCACACGTGGAGAATCACTGCGCTGTGGGGTCTATTTTAGGACAGCTGTGATTAATCCGGATCTGACCTGAAACAGCTTGAAAGTGGAGGCGTGTGAGTTCTGGGCCAGCAGTCCAATCTTGGGATCCCTTGTTTTAGACATTAAGAAATTGGGCTGAAAAACATCAGGTGCTCAGTTAGCAGCTCAGAGAAGGGAAGCATAGAGGGATGGATATACATATATATATTTTAAAAATGAGTATTCATTTATGAGTGGGGAGAGATCCCCATTCTTCCAGCAGTGCCCCACTGCCATCTGCTGGATGCATGAAGCAACACAGACGCAAAGCCAAGGCCTCCCACGAGATGACTACCAACTTACAGGCCAGGGAGCGGGAGCTGGACTCATTTCGGTCCCTGAGTCCAGATCCAAGCCCTCTCTTTGGAAGGCCTCTTTGCCCATGACAGCCAGCACTGAGGACAGAAGTCCTCCGTCCGGACGGGTGCTGAGTCCGCTTTGCCTCGTTCCCGATTAATGTTGACCCATCAGCCACCCAGAAGTATTTCCTAGGGCAGCAATGGCGAACCCTTTAGAGACCGAGTGCCCAAACTGCAACCCCAAACCCACTTACGGATCGCAAAGTGCCAACACTGCAATAAAACCTGAAACAGCCAGTCCAAGCAAATATATATATATATATATATATATATCCTTGGCAGTGCACTGATTGGTCATGCGAAAGTTCAGACGAGTTGCGGCTAATGTGTCGTGGCTCGTGACATCATCATCACCTGGCGCCACTACTCCTGTCCGCGCATGCGCATGGCCCCTATGTGCGCTGCTATCCGATGCTCGGCTGCTGAGGCGATGCTGGGGCGACTGGGCTCGCGTGCCGACAGAGAGGTCTCTGCATGCCCACTGTGGCCTGTGAGCCAGCGGTTCGCCCCCACTGTCCTAGGGCCCCCCCAAGACAGTGTCCATCACCACAACCCCAAGGCAAGGAATTTGGGAATGGAAAACATCCTGTGCATGGAGAGGAATTTCCTTTCATCTGAGCACAAACGGAAAGAAGAAAAGGATCCTGCATTGGCATGCTTGTTTGAACAGGCAATTCTGATGGGGAGCAGAAAGGCCGGGGTGCACTTCTGCCTGGCCGTGAAGCTCGGGGGTGACTCAGCTGACCCACCTCCCAAATGGGGAACCAGAGTAGGATTGTATAAATCGCTCTGAATTCCTTACAGGAAAGGAGCTGGGAATCTGAGATAATTAACCAAGCAAGCAGACGAGTTTTTTCAGCCTATTAAGGGCTTCCAGCTCTGGCTATAGGGTGGGTTGATGTGACACCTGCTGGTTGATTCTGGAATTAGCAGCCTGAATACATTTCCTACTAGGACATTTCTCCCCTGCCGCCGCCGCCCCCCCCACCCCATGGCGCTTACTCCCAGGTAAGTACACAAACGGCCACGGCCAGCTTTCTTTGGCTTCCCAGGTCTTTTTAGGGTCAGGCCTTGGGCAAGGTAGGCTTATGGATGGTGTTTTTTTTAATAGGCCAGCTTTTTTTTAAGGGTCTGTGGGCTCATGTGGAACTTCGAGAGAAGGCCGTGGGTGCTCTCACAAAATGGCACCCAGAGCAGCCCTTGCTCAGAAGCCAAACCAGTGATGCTGAAGGGGAAATATCTTACCCAACAGAAAGGGCAAGACAAGAGTGTGGAACGTCCTTCACCCATCGAGAAAGGTGCTCTTTTCAGCGCCCATTTTCATCTCAGTGCCTGTCGTTACTGGGGATTATGCCAGTTTTGATTGGTTGATTGAGTGAATGATTGGATGCTTCCAGACCAAGCCTAAAAGATGGTCCTTGACCTGCAATAAAATGTTGCAGCATACACTCGGCTCCGAACAGGAGAACGTCTTTTCCAACACTCGTCATTCCATGACTGCCAAACATGCTCCTGTGTGTCAGTGCCAGCAGTTGCCCGATTGATTGATCAGTTGATGGGTCGATCAGTTGATTGATTGATCTTAGCTGTGATCCACCTTTCCAGTCTCTCTCTCTCCCCCTCATGGCTCCCAAGGTGACCGGCAGTAAAAGAATCAAGATTGGAATAAACTGGGTGAGAACCATCATGAAAAGGCGACTTCACGGCCCACTTGGAAAGAAGCATACAGTGGATCGAGGAATAAGGCTGGGATCTCCCCCCACCCTGACCACGTGCGTCCTGCTCCTTGCTCTCCCAGCAGCCCCCCTGAACCCCCCCCCCCCGCCAGCTATTTATTGATGTCAATCGAATCCCGTTAGCGGCACACGGACACGAGGGCTGCTATGGCTGTGAGTCGGCCTTTATTGACATACATCGGTTCGTGACGGGACATGCATGTGAACCGTCCCCTGCAGCCGGAATCAAAGGCAGGGCAGGTTTGGCGAGGGAGGATGGGCCGCCGGGAAGGCCGTTCTGTGGCTGCTGAGCTCGTGCCCGGCCGGGCAGTGTACAGAGGAGCGTGTGCTTCCAGGGAGGTGTGGAAGCCGCTGCAGGGCAGCTGGTGGCCAAAGAAGAAGCCGTGTCTGCTGGCGATGCTGGAAGACACCGCGCTGGGGAGCTAAGACTCCACCCTAGCTTTCAATTTAAGTGGTTCGGCCCATGGCTGCTGGGGATCCCTTTTCATGGGGTGGCGTTCCTCCGTTGCTTTGGATCCTCTTTGGTTTTTCCGGGCCGGATCTGAGCTCAGGACCAAGAGTCGTGTGTTCTGGGGCAGGTAACTGGTGGGCGGTCAAAATCGGAGCCAACGACAAAGGCCATTCTGTGGCTGTCGCCAAGAACGGCTTTTGGCCACTCCAGAGGGCCCAGCTAGAACAGAGAGGCCAAAAGGCCAAGCAGCAGACTTAGTCTACTCACGAGGAAGACTGTCGCAATGGTGAGCACTGAGCCTTGACACCCACCCACACGGGGATGCCGCACACGCTCCCGGGAGTAGTGGGGGTCCGACTAGATGATCTCAGAAACCCCTCCCTTGAAGTCAACAACTCCATCTCATTCTCAACCCTCAAGCCTCACAAAGAAGGTCTGGAATTGGCACACTCTCCCAACCAGAAATCACAGGATTTTGAAAATGGCAGCTTTCCGCCTGGGGGACAGGATCCTGGGGGAGACTTTACAAGAACGCATGAAAGGTCCAAAGAAAATTAGTCCAGAGGGTTCGATGACTAGCAGAAGCTCTGTGTCCGGCGGATTCTGTGGCGTGGTTAGCGTGGCGTCGAATCCAGCTCTGCGAGGATTCCTTCCGTCCCGGTGACGGGCGCGTCCGGGGCCAGGCCCACGGCTGTGCCGAGCCCCCATCACGGCTCCACGGTCACGCTGCTCTGCGTCACCCGAGCGCCATACCAGCCCTTCCAGAACACCGTGTCCTGCCCGCCGTGTTCGAAGCGGATGAAGCGGACGCCGGGGCCGTAGTCGGCGAAGGTGTGTGTGATCTTGGGGGACGGAGAGAATAGGCAAGGGGGCATAAGGTCCCTGAGAAAGCAGGCACTGCCCCAGATCCGCTCAGCAGCTGCAGATAACACCGGCCCGAAAAAGAGACGCTGTCTGGACTTTTCCCCGGGCGAAGTGGTCCACAACACCCAGGGACAGAGAACAGAGACGTCTACTCGGGAGGAAGAGGCAGGCGCTAACAGTGAGAGTCAGGCCCTGGGACTGCTGAGCAAGTCGTCTGTCTGCGGGAGGCGAGTCACTCAGGGGCTAAGGGGTCAGGCCGTGGGGAGCTTACTTGCTCAGCAGTCTCAGAGTCAGGCTGCAGAGGGGCCGTCTGGGCACTGGGCCTCAGATATAAGTCCCCCTGTTCCAATGCCCGACTCTCAGTTAGCCCCTGCCTCTTCCTCACGAGTAGACGTCTCCGTCGAGCCATCAGGCACGACAGACTGGGATGGGGCAGGGGGTGGCGGAGGGGGGGGAGACCCAACCGGAGCCAGTGCTGCAGCAAGTACGGATCGGAGCAGCGCTCAGGAGTTCTGGGCTGCAGGACCCTCAGCCTCACCTGCCTGACAGGTGAGGATAAAGCGAAGAGGCGGGCCAGATAAGCCACCGAGGATAAGGGTGGGATATAAACAAATGCACTCCCCCATCTCAGCCCCATGGTGAAGGGGGGTAAAGTCAGAGGAAAACTTGCATGCATGCCCAGTGCGGTGGGGACCTTTCTCCCTCTCTCTCTTTTAAACACTTTCCCTCCATGCAGGGAAATTTTAAGGCGAGGGGGGCTGAAGGGGGAGGCACTCGGCCCCTCCTGGCTGGTTGCGATCCTGCATTTACACTAGAGTAAATAAAAGGAGACCCTGAGCAGCTAGAGAGGAGCAGGGCTGGGGAATATTTGTCCGTGGGGCCAACTCCAATTCCGGAGAGGCACCCCATGGGGGGGTGGGGCCAGAAGCAAAAGGGGCGGGGCCAAAATGGCCTCCCGGAATGGCTTACCGAACCATTCGAGAGACAACGGGGTCGTTTACACAGGGGAGAAAACAGCACACATGGAAGCTGCCGTGGTTTTGGCGATCGGGCAACCTCGGAGCCCGGGTAGCCCATCGCAGCTGCGCCTGTCCAGGCAGGGCAGCCCCCTCCCCGCCTGCACCCACCTCGGCCCATTCGCCTTCGTTGTCTTGCGGGACAGCGATGGTGTCGCTGGCGAACTCCGCCAAAACCTCCTCGTGCTCCGAGAGCAGGCTCACTTTGACGTTGTAGAGGCAGCCGGCATCACAGCGGGCCGCGTACCTACGGAAGAGGAATTGGGACAAGAACACAGCCAGGCGCATGCACATTCCTGCGGGGGAAAGGTTATCTGAGGCTACTAGTCCTCATGGCCAAGTGCTACTTTGGGCTCAGAGGCTGTGTGCCTGTGCACCCCAGTGGCTGGGGATTGTGGGAAGGAGGGGGCTGGGGCACTCCTGTCCCGCTTGTGGGCTTGCCACTGGAATGGCCGATGGGCTATGGAGTGCTGGACGAAATGGACCACTGGCCTTCTCCGCACAGCTCTTCTGCAGTTACCACAATGAACTAGAACCTGGCGCATGTGCCATTATATTTTGGGGAATGTATAATTATTAGAATGGCTTACAGCAGAAAAGTGATTATTTTTGAGGGTGTGACAGAGCTTAAAATGCGCGCAGTGAATGCACCCACAGGGTCAGCGATCCTAAAATTTAGAATTTAGAATATGGAGCCAGCAATAAAACATGTGAAACAGCCTCGGCGTGTTGGCATTTTTTGTTGCTAGAAAGCGGCTGCACGGATATGCCTCCTACCGCATATCACCTTCCAAAATAAAATACTTGCGTCTTAAAATGCAAGGGACAAGGAATAACATCTGGGCTTGGGCAGCCGGTTTCATGGAAAAACGAATGCCCGCTGTGCCCAGAGTGGGCTGGCGGAACCCCGTGGCACCCAGCGCCTTCGCCGCCTCGCTTTGCCTCCACTCACCAGTCCTTGACCACAATTTTGGGCTGGACTGTGTCCATCAGCTCCTCCCAGTATCCCTCGGCCCTGAGATCGACCACCTGAGACTTGCTGCACCAGCTGGGGAACAAACAGATCACGCGTGAACGCCCCTGCATGTTCCTGCATGAGAATTGGTCCGCCGTTGAGACGGCGACGCCAAGGCGCCCCGAACATGGCACACCTCCCAAGGGGCTCCGAGGGGTGACTGGTAAATTTTAATACATGAATAAATAACTTTTGCATATCTTTGTGATCATGTGGACTAGCAACTTGATGAAGGGAAGGGAAGGGAAGGGAAGGGAAGGGAAGGGAAGGGAAGGGACCCTCAAGAATCCCAACAGGACATGTGCACAAACCAGGTCTTGCAGGTTCTTGGCATTCTTGCAAAATGCCACCCCCCGCACTTCACACAGACCGAAGCCAGACTTACTCGAAAGAAGAGACAAAGTATTTGTGGACGTCGTCGCTGGGGAATTCTTTCCCGAAATCTCCAGGCAGGTCCTCAATTTTCCAGCCATCTCCTCCGTTCTGCACGTCCACCCAGTGCTCCAGGCCCTCTGTAAGACGACAGAGCGCTGTTTGCAAAAAGGATATCTTAGCATTTGCATCCCTGCAGCCCCTGTCCAATTGGCACAGCTTGGAGGGCGGCTCCCAGCTATTTACAAAGAGTCTGTCAGTTCCCGGAAAATGGAAAGCCGCCAGGCCACTGTGGGACCATCAGTGCTGCAGAGTTAAAACCAGTTTCAGTCTCCCGGCCTCCCTGCCAGAGAAGTGTAGATTTAGGAGAATGCGCAAAATGAAGGATATAATATGGGCCTAGCTTGCGAGATGACTGTGGAGATAAACATAGACTGAAGGTCCGAAATATTTTCCTCTCAATAGGCACATCTGGAATTTTGAGTGTTGGTGGGCTCACAAAAGGATGGATAATGAAAAACACACACATATGCAACGTATAGAGTGCATAGATTGGAGTGCACATCTTGCAGCCCCCCATGTTTTGGACTACAAGTCCCAGCAGCCCTGGCTAGCATTAGCCAAACACCTGGAGGACCGCAGGTTGCCCACTTCTACTAAGCATTATTATTATTATTATTATTATTATTATTATTATTATTATTATTGAGCCCACCAACACCACCAGAATTATCTCCTTTCCTGGCACACCTTTGATGGGTCAGACAGAAATTCAGCAGGGGCAGCCTGGAAGGTCAGTAGTGGGAGAAACCTGTTGGATTATTGCCTGCCACACAGCTGCTCAACCCAACAAGGGCCCCGCTGCAGAGGACAAGATGGCCACCCTACCGCCAGGGTCCTCCCCAGCCACCTCTCGGGGACGTGCTACAGCCCCTTGCCTTCGCCATTTGGGTTCTTGATCAAGTTCCGCTTCCTCTTGTTCAGGAAGTAGAGTGTTTGCCAGTTGTCCACCGCTCCCTCCTCTGCATCATCCCCGACAAAGCCCTCCTGCTGGCTCTTGAGCAGCCACAGGGATGTCCCGTCGACCAGACTCTTCCAGTGGGAGCACACCAGGCGACACACCAACACCAGCTCGACTGCGGGGAGGGAGGCCAGGATGCGGACCAGCAGAGGCTCTGGGAGGGTCTCCATCCTCGGATCTGACAGGAGGGGAGACAGGATTAGACTACAGTTCATACGAACGTAAGCAAATAAATACATAAAACGGGGGTTTCGGCACATGCTAAAGAGCTCCTGGGAGCGGCTCCCCAAGAGGGCCACCCTTTGAAGGAGAGGAAGTGCTGGGCCCGATTTGGGTCCTGGAGGCCCCTCTCCAAATGGCCAACCCAAGAGCCAAAGGAAGCACCCAAAATCTAGCAGGTGCCTGGATGGCGAGCAAACAGCCAGGAGCGGCTACTGTGCAGACCGCGGCTTGGCCCAAAGCGGCTTCTGGTCTCAAAGCAACTCTCCCAGCCAACCTGCCGCCGGCAAGCGCTTTGGGCCCCAAAGCCAGAGTGAAGGGGAAGTTACAGGCCAGCCACGTCAAAGATGGTCTTTCAGCCAGCCTCCATCCAGCGGCACCCTCACGCCTTTTGGGGTGCGGCGGATCTTCCTGAGTGGCTCCATAGCCACGCCCCCCCAGGACAGCCAAAAGCCTGCAGGCAGCTGCATCAGTCCAAGGTTCAGGTACCTGAGATAACTTACTATTTGATAAATAGAGGTGGACAATTGAATAAAAAAATAGAAAGTGCTTGGTATTTTAAAAAGAAAGAAGTCCGACCTCTTTTTCTTTCTCATTCCAACATTGCAGAACAGCTTCAAACGATCCACGTATAATTTGATTGCCTTCTGGCAAGTATACCCACCTGTCCCCCAAAATCATCTTCAGTGGAGTCCCAGAACTGCCAAAGGAAGTCAGGTGGGTAATTCCTCTGAAGAGGAAACTTTTCTGCTATGGCACCGCTTTGTGGAATGAGCTTCCCAGAGAGGAAGCTACATTGGACAGCTTTCCACACCTTCCTTCCCAGGGCAATTTAGTCTTTCTGTTTCTGTTGCTTAAAATCTATTATCGTATTTTAAATCTTTGCATTGTGCTAAGTGTCAATTGGATTTTTATTTTCCACTGTCTTTCGAACACTGATCTTAGCTGAACGCGCTGCTGTGGGTGGTGCTAATGACCATGAATGGCCCAGAGAACTTCAGCTCTGGGCTGGGATAGAAATATTAATCAATAAACAGGCAGGTGTTTTTCAGCCGACTCCACAATTTCTCTCTGCAAGACTGAAAGTGCCAAACCTCAGAAGTCAGCCAGCTGGCCTCCCGCACCACCAAAGCAATACAAGAGCAAAGCTGCCTGCAGAAATTGTGCCACTTGGAGCCAGCTTACTTGGGAGTAAGCCCCTTTGCCCTCACTGGGAATTCCTCATGAGTTAGCATCGCCCTGCTGCAGATTTCTCTGGCGTTCCGGCTGCGCTAAGACAGCGACCCCGTACCCCATTCCTATCTCTGTTATGGGCCAAATAGGATCACCCTATATAAATCAACAGCATGTGTCTGTCTCGTCATGCATAAGCACTCCAGTATCCTATCTGGGAAGCCCCATCATGGTGGGACTTCAGGGCAGAGAGCTGGGGGCCCAGCTGGCAGGACATGCAGGGCGTTCCTTCCCCGCTCCCAAGTGCATCAGGACAGGAATTCCCCATTTAGAAGGAAGCCTCTAACGACTGCAGATGGACCGCAAAGCCATCAGGTCTAATATGCACCACGGATCCTTTCATCCGCAAGCCCTCGTGGCCTGAGCTACACACCACCTTATACCAGCGTTCCTTGTTTAAGAAGCCGCAAGAGAGATTCAAAATCAGGAGCTGTGCAGGGACAGGGGACAGAAATCTACTGCAAGGTCACTGACCGGTAAGAGATCCAAAGGCACCGCTCTGCAGTCAGCAGCACAGCTCGGGTCTCGCTCCGGGAAGACAAGCCGAGGTCTCGATCAGCATCGGTGCTCCCTCCAGTGACACGGCAGCCTCTGGGCGATGCTCGATGCGCCGTCAGCATCTCAGTGCGGAGGAGAAGCGAGGCACTTCCTGCGATGGGCGGGCCCCGCCTCTGTGGCTGGACCGGGCTGCTCTCCTCTGTCGCAGGCAAGTAACTTTTCCGTGCTGCACCCAGGCGAGCAAGGCATGGGAATGGAGCAGCTGCGCGGCAGTCCTCTGGGCCCACAGGAAGATGCGCTTCATTTCCACTCGCATCCCTCGGATTTCGAAATTTGCCTCCGTGCCTATAAATCAGCATCTGCAGATTGCTGCTCTGCAAGTTGAGATCCTCTTTCCCATTTCACAGAGAGTCATAAGCTGGCACAGTAACCCTGCATCTGACCATAGCCAAAAGCACCCCGATTATGTGGGGCCACGCATTCACCTGCCCCCGACGGTGGGTCTGGGGCAGCTTCAGGCGACTCCTGTAAAGTCCTGGCGAGAATCAAAAGCCCGAGGGTGGGGAGACACGTGCCGAAATGGATTTTTGAAGCGGTCCTCCTGGCCTATCTTCAAGCCTGTCTCTCAAGATTCTGTACTCTGCGTGGTCTCAAGGGGTCCCAAAGGGAAGGGGGATGCGGGCACAAACTTCCCAGTGTCTTTGGAGGCAAGGGGTCTCCTTGTTTGGTGCAGATCATAGCCTTGGCTTCCCATCATCTTCCCTGAGAGAGGACGGAGTTTACATCTGTCTGGAAAGTGTTGCTTTTTGTAAAAGAAAATGTCTATTTGATTTTGTATAAACTGTCGGTGTGAATTCCCCAAATTCTTGTGACCGTTGGAGAGAATCAGGAGTCCCCAGGAAATGGGCAAAGGTTCCCAAAACAGCCTTCCCTAAACATGGGGCCTTCCAGATGAGGCCACGCTGGTTGGGGATGATTGGAGTGGTAGTCCAACAACGGAGGGTCCAAGGGTGAGGGAAGCCCATGCTTTTCAACTTATTCAGCTTTCTCCCAAGTGAACTGGAATTAGGAGTGAGCAGTGAGGTGGCCAGTAATTTGCCAATGACACCAGATTATTTGGGCTGGTTAAAACGAAAAGGGTTTCAAGGAGCTCCAAAGGGGTCTCTCCAAACTGGGGGAACAGGGATCAAGATGGCAAGGCGGTCCTGTGCGCAAGCAAGCGTCGAGAGACACACAGTGGTGACCTCATTTGCACTGGTGGATTCTCACACATCTCCCTGGGCACTTTCCAGCCTTCGACGATCACCCACGAGAGCTGAATTTCTCCCGATTCAGAGCTCGTGTCCCCCGTGAGTTGCTGGGGGACAAGCAAACATTTCGTGAAACACGCAGCTGGAGGAAGCGTGTTTAACAACATCAGAGGAAAGCCACTGTTCCCACTCCAGTTTTGCTGGCCTGCAGTGGCATGGACTACAACCCCTATCTTCCCCAGCCTGTGCAGATGATGGGAGGTACAGTTGGAGAAGCCCGCCTTCACGCTCTGCATGGGAGCTTCTTTCGTAAAAAGCGTGTAGAAAGCAGTACCGTAAATTCTTTCTTCCATTCTTATTATTGTTATTGTTACTATAAAACAATTTAGTGACAATGCTATTTAAGTGCCCTGCATTGTTTTCTAAACATTCAGATACTTCGATTTGTCCACAGGCTCACAACCTAAACGTAAAATCCAACCATGGGAAATCTTTCATTCAGTCATTTCAAAGTTCCCACAATTATGTCCAAGTTTTCAGGGCCTCTGGATTGCTTCATTTGGACAGATGGAAGAAAAAGCAGGCTGAAGCGAGGCCGGAAAAGCAGGGGATGACTTTATGCTGAATTTTGCAACATCGCCTCAAGCCAGCCTTTCCTTGCAGCCTCCTTTTCCCGACCAGAACACAAGTGAGATGCCCTGCTCTGCCGTCCCAGCTTCAAGGCCCCCAAGTCCAGCCTAAAATCCTGAAGAGCCTCAGCTGCCAGTCTGTTCCAACAACCCCAGGCAAGAAGGACCAAAGGTCTCACTCAGCGCAATTAGCTCCGCCAGTCCCTAACTAATCAGCCCTTTACCGAGAACCATGAGGGCTAGAAACTTGCTTTATTATGAAGGGAAGTGGCATAGCTCAGTGGCCGAGTCCCTGCCTCACATGCAGAAGGTCTGACATTTGATGCCCAGCATCTCCAGGAAGGACTGGGAGAAACCCCAGCGGTTTCCTGCCTAAGGAGCAGAAGAACGGAAGAGAGAGGAGTCTTCACATGTGCCGACCCCTTCAGGGACAATAGTGATACTGCTGTTGGTGATCCTCAGGCCGTACCAGCCTTGACCTCCGTGCTTGAAGTGGATGTAGCGAACCCCTTGGGGATACTGGCGGAAAGTGTGGCAAACCTGCAGACATAAGAGCCACAGGTAGCGGGATGAGTCTGGGAGAAGGGCAGAAGAAACCATCAGCAGGAGCATAACAGCGCCTGACTCCGCAGCTCACGGGTCGAAGCCTGCGCACGTGTTAAGTTTACCTTCCTAGACCACCCACCAATCAACTGGACTCTGATATTGATGAATCGACTGGATATTGATGAAGGCTGCATTTGCTCAACCCTGGAAAAGTGAAGAACCACCTACTGACGAACTGATTTTAATAAAGATCTTGGACTGTACAGAAAGAGACAGATTGACTTTATCATGGAAGGAGAAAGAAGATACTGATTTCTATCAAACTTGGGACCCTTTTTATTATTGGCTAGAGAAACGGGACTTTGTGTAGATTTAAGTATGTTTTTAAGTTATCATAAATAGAAAAAAATGTGGGGGCTGACCCAGCAGGCCCGATGTTTCTGATGACTGAGGTTGTTTTTAGTTTTCTTTTGTTTTAGGGTTATTTTGAATAAAACTTATTATAAAAAAAAGAAATTCAAAAAATTGACAAGAATTATCTTGTCGAGTGTTAGAAATGTAAAGAAGTGGAAGGGACTTTATCATATGCGGTGGTCCTGTAATAAGGTCAAAAAAATTGTAAAGAAATCCATGCTTAAATAAATAACATTTTGGGAAAAAAAAAAGTTTACCTTCCTAGCAAGCTCAGATCACTCTGGGACACCTTGGCTATTGCACTTCAGCACAGGTTGTGAGTTCGGGCGCATGCACAGTGTGCATTTCAGTGAAGGTGTCTCTGAGCATGAGCAAAGCCCCCGAGGGTCTCTGGCAAAGCGATATGACTCTGCAGTCTTTGCTGCCACCACAGCTCAAGAACAGCAAGGCGGACGTGGCGTGTGACGTGGCGTGGCGTGTAAAATTAAAATTATCAGTATAAAATAAAAATAAAGGAGGAGAAAGAGAAGGAAGAAGAAGTTGCCCTGGCCAGATCACATGTTTTAACAATTGAAATGATGTTTAAATAAAAAGGTCTTTACCTGGCGCCGAAAAACCAGTAACGACGGTGCCAGGCGGACCTCTTTGGGGAGTGAATTCCATAGGTTGGGTGCCACCGCAGAGAAAGCCCTCCTCCGAGTACTTACTCTCCTAATTTCTTTCATGGAGGGTTCCCGGAGAAGGGACTCTCCCGCAGATCTCAAAGGGCGGTCAGGCAACAACCCATGAGGAAAGAGGTGCACCATGGGGTCATGCATCGCACAACACAATTTCAGGCGCAATTTGAAACCGCATATGTGTAAAAATGGATAAATGCTGGGAAAAAGCGATTTCAAGATGTTTGGATTTGTTGAATCCGTTCGGAGTTTCGTGGATCCTTCCGTGCCTTTCATTCCACCGTCCGCTTCTTGACGGAACCGGTGATTTTCAGCAAGCACACAAATTCCATTTCTGCCTGCAAATGCACGCTTGCACTACTAATGCACACTTGTCCATTACAGCAAGTGTGCAAAGCCTTCCCTGAAAAGTTAAAAAGTCTGCAAAAGCTGTGCAATTTGGAAAAAACGATCCAGATTAATAAAAACCGGCACTCATTGGAATCGCTTACAGGTTTCTCCAACATCCGATCCTATTAAAGGAGATCTCTGGGCTGGGGTCACACGGATCCATGTGCTACTTTCCCAGGAAATAATGAATTATGGGATAAGCTCACACAAGGGAGGCTTTCTCCGCCACGGCACTGGCAGGATGCCGCCGGGCGCCCGTCCCGCTTGCCTCCTTACCTCGCGCCACCCGCCTTCTGTCCACTGCTCAACGATCACGTCCTTGGGGCGAAATTCCTGGAGAACCGTGTGGTCTGCAGAGAGCAGTTGGATGCACACTTGGTAGCGGCACGGGCAGCCGCAGTGAAACCTAGGTTGGGGGAGGGCGAGACGATCCCAGGTGGGAGAGCCGTACCCCAAGCCGAGCCTCCCCACGGAAGCTGCCTTTCGGGGAGGGGTCTCCTCCGTCCACCCGCCACCGGCGTACCAGTCGCTGACAACAATTCTGGGCTTGACCTCGTCCAGCAGCTGGTCCCAGTAGCCTTCGTCCTTTAAGGTGATGAACTGGGACTTGGCGCTGGGCCTGTGAGCACAACACAACAGCATCAGGAGCAGATTTATTGCGGGGGGGCACTTTCTGCTTTCCCGCCTGCTTCCTCTGTGCCATGGCTCAAATTACAGAACGGCTGATGGGCGAAGGACAGTGCAGCCCAGAGAAGAGGGGCAGCTTGAACCACTGAGCACCAAGCCGAGTTTTTGGCTCCAGGAAGCAAAGCCGCGATCCTCACCTTTGCGACGTGACAAAATATTTCTGGACGTGCTGATGGGGGAAATGATGCCTGTACGCTCCGGGCAGCTCCTCGGTGCGCCATTCCTGCAGTCCGTTCAGCCCAGGATCCCAGAATTTGAAGCCCTCTGTGGAAAGCCAGAAGGGACAGTGAAGGAAGAGGTGGTGAGAGGGTGCCCACAGGAGAGGAGTAGACTCTGCTCGGAGGAGGAAAAACAACTCCAGTCCTGAACCAACGCGGCCTTATAACCAGATGGGTAGCAAATGACGCCTTTTAAGTGTTAACATCTTCTGGGAAGAGCTACAGAGCTCAAAGCATCATTATACTATCCAAGAAGATAAGAAACTTTTTAATTCAAACTTTGCAAAATCTCATTGCCTTTAATACCAAACGCAGGTACTCAAGTGTCAATGATCTCTGAAGCAAAATACGGACAACCCCCAAAACAGAGTTGCATTTTCTACATAATCAGAGGACCTCCCAGGTCTGCAGATGTAGAGGCAGGAAAATATATTTTAAAAAATGCCCAGCAAGGACCCAAAAGTTTCCTGGATTTACAGAATTCTGAGAACACCCATCGTAGGGCATTTTTAAAAGACGCAGTGATATTCCAACTTGCAGCTCTCTAACCCTCTCCCGAGGTCTGGGACACAATGGAAGCATCCTAAGCAAAAATACACTGGGACTTCGGCTATTTCCAGCCCTGCAGCTTTTCCCGTCACCCTCCCCCTTTTTCCCTACAGACTCGCTTTGTGGCCTTCGCCCCGAAATGTGTCTGTAAAATGGAATTCAGTTCCTGGGCTGAAAAGGGGTCCCCAGCCCAGGATACCCCCACGACAAACTGGAACGCACTGCTTGGCTCTACAGGCAAGACGTGTGTTCCCACAAGAGTTGCACGAATCTTAAATCTAAGCCTGGGAGAAGGTGTGGGCTCCCCGTCCCCCTCCCCAGCCCCTCTTTTCCCAAAGCAAGGACAGACCCTCCCCACAGGGGTTCTTGATTAAGTTCCTCTTCATGCTGCAGAGAAAGTAGAAGGTCCGCCAGTCCCGGATGCTCCCCTCGGACACGGCGAGACCCTCGTGCTCGCGGAGGCACTTGCGCTTCCACAGGGTGCCCAGGTCCGTCACGCGTCTCCACCGCACACAGACCAGACGGCAGCTGCGAACCAATTCCCGCGCGGGGACCAGAGAGAGAACATCCAGGAGGACCTCTTCTGGCAGATCTTCGATATTCACCATCTTCCCTGGCACCTTCAGCAGAGAACAACCACAAACATCCGGCAGAGGAGGCAAAGGAAGCAAGAAAGGCAGGCTGGCAACATGTCCGTATGCGTTCAGATACATCTAACGTCTGCAAAACCTTGCCTAATGCCTGTTATTTTGTATAATTTATTCCTGTCTGAGCTGGCATTCTTAGTGAACCCCCTGCCCTCTCCTTCTCCTTCCCGGCATTTTTAAAATCATCGTTATTATTTCTATAGCATTCAATAGCCAAGACTTTGCTGATGAATTCCTGGCACAGGCTTCACGCAAAACTGGGACAGGGTGGAAATTGTCCGGGCGTTTCTCCACTTCCCGACGGCAAGCTGCTTTCTTGCTCTGGCCCAGGCAATGGTGATCGCATGAGGAGGAGCTGGTGCAAATGGCCGTGGAAAAGCAGAGGGAGCCACTGGAGGGGTTGTGGCAAGGGCCCTGCAGCTGAAAAGCACTGATCATGAGGACTAGCCACTTGCCTGTGGCATGCAAGCTGAGACTGGCAAGGATCTGAGTTCTACGCTCAGTATCCCCTGCAGAAGAATCCCAGCAAAGGGGGTGAGTCAAGTCCATGCATTATGTAGCTGCAGCGAGAGCAGAACTAGGGATGTTACAAGGAGCCCTTCTGTTCCACTGAATGTCCTCAGAACAGGAAAAGGCCAGGAACACAAACAAGCGAATTCGAGGAAGCTGCGGGGACAGTTCCTGCAGGCTACAGCATGGCATAGTCATCAATTCTTCCTGCGCCTTCAGGGAGTCCAGACTCTACCACCCTGGGGCTCTGTGTTGATATAAAAGCCACCCTATTCACATGATGTTTCCTGAGAGAAAGTGAATCCACAACAGGGCAATCCTTTTGAGAGGAGCAATCAAGATATGGGCAGCCTCTGGAGTTCTCTGGAACTCTTCCAGGATCCAACCTGATGAGGAATTCTGAGTAACTCAAAAGCTTGAGCATTCTTGGTAGAATTTTGCTTGGCCCTAATAACGATATTGCGTGACTGCGGATTTTAGATTGTTTTACTCTGTTGCCTTCTGCCTTTCTTTTTAGAAACGGTCCTTAAATGAATCTTGACAGCACTGCATAAACAATGCAGCCACACCTTTCCAAAACATTTGAGGCAGCTAACCTAGGAAAAGAAATATAATCTAGATTAATTTTATTTTCCTTTACTAGCTGTCTTGAACATTTTCAGCAGCTGGGGAATGTGCAGCCTTCCACATGTGGTTGGATTCCAGCTCCCATAAGCCCCAGCTGATGAGAGTAGAGGAGACAACCTGTCCCCCAGCCCCAGATGTTCCAAACTGCAACTCTCACATAAGAACGAGAGAGCTAATCCAGGTCTGAGTGCCAATGCTGCTTAATCTACCTCACAGGGCTGTTGTAAGGATAGAAATGCAGAGAAGAAGTTAGTCCCTCGGGTTCCTGGCAAGAAGAAAGGCGGCCAGGATGCAGATGTTATAATACACTGCTTTAATACCGATGTCTGGGGATGATGGTGGTTGTCGTCCAGCCAATCTGGAGGGCCACAGGTAGGGGAAGGTGGGTATAAACTTCTCCATTAAAAGGCTGGGGCCCTGCCCTGTATACATGTTAGACTACAACATCCACAGCCCCTGACAATGGAAGCTGTGCTGGCTGAGGATGATAGAATTTGTGGTCTCGGCCATTTGCAGGGCGCCAGGGAGGGGAAGGGGAGACATAAACTTTGCCAGGGAAGGGGCGGGGGTCGCCGCTGATGGTTCGGACTACATCCATTCGCCGTGTGTGTGTGTTGTGTGTGTGTGTGTGGGGGGGCATGCTGGCTGGGGATAATGGGCCTGGCAGTCCTCCCGATCCGGATTGCTGCCTCACGCCGGAGAAGCGCAGAGGGCTCCATTCCCGCGGCAACCCTCCGGCGCAGCGCTCGCGGCGGGGCCGGGCTGCCTGGACCGGCGATGGGGGCCCCGCGCGTGTCCCGCCGGCCCCGCCCGGGAAGCGCCCGACCCCCCCCCCCCGGGCCGCCCTGGGGGACTCACGGCCGCTCGCCCACCGCGCAGCCCGTCCGAGCGCCGCCTCCGCCTCGCCGGCCGCTCAGTCTCCGCCCCGCAGCGCCTCCAGCCGCAGGCGGCGAGGCGAGGCGAGCTCCACCCGCCGCTTCGCCTCCTTCGGGGAGGATCGCCGCGCCTCCCCTCCCTCCTCGGCGGGGCCGTGGCCGCCATCCCCGCCGCCGGACGCGCTTCCTCGGGAGCAGCCGGGGAGCCTCGCCTCGCCTCGCCTCGCCCCGCCCGCGAGGAGCCGCCCAAGCCTCGCCAAGGGGGGCGCGCACGGGAGCAGCGTCCCCAGCAAGGCGCAGGCGGCATCCTCAAGGGCGCCGAGGCGCGGAGCGATGCGCTGCCAGGGAGCTGGCGCGGCTCGGCGCCCCCCCCGCGCCCCTCCGCTCGGGGCGGCTCACCGGGCTGTCTTGCGCGCCGGGAAAAGAGCCCTTCCTCCAGGTACAGGTCGCATCCTGTGGCTCGCTGCGCCAGACCCTAAGGAAAGCTGCTTGCTTTGCTCCACTCACTGGGCCTCAGGAGGCAAAGTACCCGGAGGAGGGCCTTCTCTGCGGTGGCGCCCCATCTGTGGAATGCGCTCCCCAGAGAGGTCCGCCTGGCGCCGTCGTGATTCGTTTTCCGGTGCCAGGCTAAGACCTTTTTGTTTAAACAATATTTTAACAGCATTTAATATTATCTATAGGTTTTAATTTGCAGCCAAGATGAATCAGCGTTTTTCATTTGTATTATATGTATGATGTATTATATTTGTTTATTTTATGTAAGCCGTCCCGAGGCTTTAAGCGATGGGACGGCATACAAAAATCCTAAATAAATAAAATAATAAATAACTAGGCAGACTTCGGCCTGCTATCCATGCCGTGGTGCTTTTGCTCCAGAATCCACCCTTGTTGCTGGACCAATTTGCATCATATAACACTCTGAAATACAAGGCTGGCTGTACCATTAAGCAGAGTTAAACTGTCACCATATGAGATTTCCTCTCCCACCATGACACACACACACAAAATTGTTGTTTAGCAAAGTAGCGTCCGCCCCATCGCGAGCCCATGGCCAACCTTCCTCCAGGCTCTCCTGTCCTCCACCATCCGCTGGAGTCCAGCTAAGCTCACACCCACCTCCCCAGTGACGCCATCCAGCCACCTCATCCTCTGCCGTCCCCGTCTCCTTTTGCTGTCAATCATTCCCAGCATCAGGCTCTTCTCCAGGGAGTCCTTCCTTCTCATTAGGTGGCCAAAGTATTTGAGTTTCATCTCCAGGATCTGGCCTTCTAAAGAGCAGTCGGGGTTGATCTCCTCTAGGATTGACTGGTTTGTTTGCCTTGCGGTCCAGGGGACTCGCAGGAGTCTCCTCCAGCACCAGAGTTCAAAGGCCTCAATTCTTCAGTGCTCAGCCTTCCTTATGGACATAAAAATAGCATCAGTCAAATTCGGGGTCACTTTGGATCAGTGGGTCAGGCAAGCTGCATCCAGAAGGCCTCTGTTCTGGCAGAAATCTCCCCCCAGGAGCTTTCCGTTGACCTCAGAACAGCTCTTGGTTCTCAGCAAGGACAAGTAATTGAAGGCTGAATCCTTCCTGCAGCAATGCAAAATGACAACATCTACACAAACAAGGCTTGGCCTGTTGACCAACACAACAATAATTTGGCTGGCTGACTTTCAAACATCATAACGACGCTTTCCTTCAATACATTCTAACTTTATTTGCTGGGAGTTTTAGCCAACAATTTTAGCATGAGAAAGAAAGCAAGATGGCCGGCACTGAACCTGCTTTTCCTTTTCCATTTTCCTTTTCCATTTTTTCCTTTTCCTTTTCCATTTTCCTTTGAATCCCCTCCTTTTCATGTCAAAAGTGTGGCTCGACAGTGACGCTGCTGTTGGTTAGGGTGCCCGAGTCCACGCCACTGATTCCATGTTGAAAAAGGACGTGGCGGACGCCAGCAGGGTAGTTCTGAAACGTGTACGAAATCTAGAAATGAGAGGGGGAGAAAAAGAGAGTAGAGCGGCAAACTTGATGAGGGCAGGGGGCACGATCCTTCTTGGGGAACCCGCAGCCTAAACGGCGTCCACAACGCCCGAGCCGGTTCCGTCCCTTCAGCCTGGGCTCCGTTACCTCGCTCCAGAGTTCCTCTGTGTCTGTGGTGACGCTGACATCTGCGGTGTGGCATTGGCGAAGGACCTGACGATCCGCAGACAACAGCTGCACGTTCAGGGTGTAGATATAAGGATCGAAAACATCTGTCCTAGTTTGAACAGCACAGGGAGGAGAAGACAGTGAATGCGAGCTGGGTGCCGGGCATCCTGTTTTGCTGGAATTGGTTGAACAGCAAAAGATCCTATTGCGGCTGGGGTGCACGTCTGTCTTGAGCATGGTCCCACTACTGAGCTGAAGAAAATCCTCCTGGACGTATTGCAGCTCCTCTGAAGTAAAGTGGGCCTTTCCTGAAGCTTTAAATGCCGTTCAGTTGTTTGGAATGATGTTTACAGCTTCCAAACCTCTCTTAAACTCTCCTTAAATGGAAAGCAGCTGGTGGGGGAGGCGATGATTGACAGAGACGGGCTCCAATGAGAGAATGGTTTTGGAAGGCTCTCTCTTTGGCTTGCAGTCACCGTGCCAGTGAGGGGACCAGTGTGAGCACTGCATTTTGGGTCTCTGACCCCGGGAGATGCACATGGCTTCCAAGAACAGCCTGAGAGCAAGCATTGCTGGGGAGTTACATTTTTAATCCCCCCAGCCTCCAAGTGGCTAAGAAAGCTAACTCCACCAGAAGGTGGTCTTGGTATTTATTTGAAGCCTTGAAGGATTGATTGCAGACTTTTGCATTAGAAGCAGAATTCAGAAATGCCACAGAGCTGTGCCAAATCAACATTTAACCTCTGGAAATCTTAGTCAGCCTCCTGAGATGTCAGGGGTCGTTGTTCATCCAGTTTCAACCACAGCTTCACATCCCTGAGGACTAGAAACTTGTCATCTTTAAACGGAAGTTGAATTTGGCAGCCCCTGCTCAGTAGAAAACACGGCAGACACAAAGAGAGACGATCCTACTTTCTAGGGGGGCAACAAAAACCCACACCACCAGTTCTAGTCTTACCAGTCTATCACCTTGATGTCGGGTTTGACATGGTCCATCAGTTCATCCCAGTAGCCAAAATCCTTTAAAGTGATGAGCTGCCTTTTGGGTTTCGGCCTAAGACACAAATCAAGGCCATTAAACACTGTGACTGCTTGCTTTTTGTTTGAAGGTAAAAGATGGATTAGAGGCTATCGTTAATACTACTGCAACTAATAACAACAGTGATGTGGTCTCAGTCACCCTGTAGCTGAAGCTTACCAGCCAACATACATTTCATAAACAAGACAACCAATAATAAAATATTGGTTCAAATATTTAACCAAATATTGATTCAAAAAGATCTCTTGTTTAAGAAGTCACGAATGGAAGTTTTTAGATGCATTAAGTAACAGATGAGCCAGCTCGAATTTCAAAATACAGTGTTACCCATTTTAAAAATAAAACAAACAGCAGCTGAAGGATACATTTTCAAAGGTACAGGAAAATAAAGAGGTCTTTGCCTGGCGCTGAAAAATCAGTCAGATAGGTGCTGGGGGACCTCTAGAGAAGGCATTCCACAGTTTGGGTGCTCAGAAAAAGGTCTACTCATGAGTAGGTGCCCACCAGATACCAGCGGATGAATGCCTGACTCCCAGTTCTTTAACAATAGGAGTGAAAACAAAATTCTCTTTTTCCTTTTAAAAAAAAGGGGCATGTCATCTGCCGTGGCTGTCCTTGTAGTAATTGTTAATTGCCATTGGCCAAGCTGCTTGGGAATGATGGGTGCTGTAGTTCAACATTCTTGGGAAGTTGCCCAGTGGGGCAGTCTACCTTAGCCCTTTAAAGCCAGAATCCAGAGCAGCTCATTTTCTTGTTTTTCTGCAATGCCCAGATGCAAAACATTGACTCTGGTGACAATTCCTGTGGGAAGGGTAAAGAGAAGGCCTCTTTCGCAGAAAATTAATCATATCCGGAACAGATATCCCTTACCCACTAAATGCACCGAAGCCAGAAGTCACGTGCGCGAGGGGAAATCCTTCCAGCTTGCCAGCACTCCAAGCATCCTCTTCCTCGGGATGAATTTCCCAGAAGTTCAAACCCTCTGTGCAAAAGAACAAGACAAACATAGAGACTTTGATTTTTGTTCCTGTTCCAAGGAGGGAACAAACCTGACCTTCAACGCACAGGCCGGATGGGCACTCGCCCGTGGGCCCCACACTAATCTGCGCACGTTAACCCTTCAATGCACCTTGTCTCATATATGATCCATACCGATCAAAGGTGCATCGTTACTTCACTAATTGCTAATTTAAGTTCTTTCCTGCTTTGTATCGTTCCTGATACACACCGGCACTGTGAGTAGTTGTCGGCACTGTGAGTAGTTGTCGTACAGTTTTGCCTGGGGCCCGTAATGCTGTTAAGACAGCCCTGCCTTCAAGGCACAAGCGACTACAGCTGTCAGGGCGTATGATTCCACCTATTTCTTTCATTTATTTGTTTATTTAAGGCATTTCTATCCCATTCTATACAAACATCTCAGGATGGAAATACAGTACAATGGCAGCACCCAAATGCAGGATATAAATACCTAATAAAGCCAACATTAAAATGATGCTAACCCTTAAAATATGGGGAAAATAAAAGGAGTTTGGCCTGGCACCAAAATGTATAAAATGTCAGGGCCGCAGCTGGGGTGCTACAGTAGAAAGGGCCCTTATCTAGGAAGCCATTCATCTCCTTCAAAGAGGGCTCCTGAAGAAAGACCTCAGACAAGGATCTTAAGGGGATGGGCAGGTACAGGAGATGCTGTTGGGGAAATTGGGATAAATCCTGTCAGAAAAGCATTGCTTCTGTGTGCATTGCAGAATCAATCCTGCACTCCTCCTCAAACCAAGCTAAGTCGCTGTTTAAAATGGCCTCCCTCCCTGGCTCCTTTCTCTCACCTTCAGCTGTAGGCTACAGTAGACAGGCCATTCAGTCCAAATATACATTGTATACCTTCACAATTATGGAATAATCCTCGCTGGAATTCACAGTTTACAAGGAAGTATCTTCCTAGCCCAGAGGGCTCCATGTGCCCTGGCCATTCAGAAGGGTGCGGATGCATCACTTAGGGCCTGAGTCTGGATGAGCTTACGAGTTCATGAATAGTTTCTCAGTAGCCTGAATTTGCATGTCTGAGCAGACCTGGAGCTGGGTTCAAGTTACTCAACTAAAGTGCCAATACACGGCAATTAGAAATACTGTGATCTCAGTGTCACTGTAGGATTGGCTGATCTCCCTGTATCTGCTCTGGATGTGACGACCTCAGAATCTTACTGTAATGTCTGCATCCTGTCATCAATTGCCCTGTACCTGCGACGTGACCGGGAGGGTATAAAATACCCTGCAGTGGTGCTGAAACCTTGCAGCGAGTTTACCTCTGCCTGCACAGTACTGCATTATCATGAGTCTACCGCTGGGCCAAACGACAAAGCCACAGATGGTCTGGATGCTTGATCTTTCCCACGAACCCGAGTTTTATTTCCACCTCATGAATTGAAATTCCAGGATTTTCTGACAACGCTCCTTCAGATACCCCGGCCGTGAACACGCCCAGGGATGCACTGTTAGCCGCGTGCAAAGGCAGGTGTGAGCACCTTGTTTTTCAATTTCTATTTTCTCAACATAAACAAGTGGACATGCACATGGTGGGCATGTCGTGAGCGGAGCCAGCTGGAGCCGGGGGTCAGACTAGATGGCCCGGGAGGACCCTTCTGACTCGCTCTGTTTCTATGTTTTTTCCTATGTTTTTCTAAGTACATAGAGAGGATATACAGAACAAAACAAACTAAAACAAACAAAGCAAACTACAAGGTGGGAGTAACTTGTCAAAGCCTGAGCTTTGGGCCTACAACTCCCATCAGCCCAAGGCAGCAGGCCAAGGATGAGGGCACATGGGAGTCGATGGCCAGGACATCTGGAGGGTCCTCTGCCCCCTGCCCTGAAGTACCTGCGACTTGGCCCTGAGCACGGCGGACGCCCCCCCTGCGCAATGAGGGCACGCACCTTCCCCACAGGCATTCTGGACCAAGTTCCTCTTCGAGCGCCAGAGGAAGTAGAGCGTCCGCCAGTCCCGGACGTCCCCGCCGGGCTTCGCAAGGCCCTCCCGCTGGCACCTGTGCTTCCAGGGAGCGTTCAAGGCGTCGGCCACCTCCTGCCACCGCGAGCAGACGAGGCGGCAGCTGCGCACCAGGTCCCAGGAGGGGACCCGCGAAAGCACGTCCGCGATCACCTCCTCGGGCAGGTCTCCGATGGCCGCCATTGCCCTTTGGAGAAGGCTCAGCCTGGGGGGGTGGGGGACACACACACACACGGGTCAGGGAGGTCTGCAGCAGAGCCCAACGAGCTTGGATTTCGGTGAATCCAGACCGTGGGCTGGGCGTTGTGCTCCTCCTCCTCCTCCTCTCCAAGTGTAGCCTCAGAACAACCCTGCGAGGTAGGCCAGGCTGAGAATCAAGCTGCATACGAAGACGAGGCACTAGGACCTGGGTCTCCCCTGTCCCAGTCCAACACCCTGACACTGTCCATGTTTCCTGACCACTCCCAGTTTACCAAGGCCGGAAAAAGGAGGCACGGGGCCGGCTGGAGCTACCGCTGCGGGGACGGCCAGCCACTCACAGCAGAGAAGGCGGGCAGCAGGGCAAGGAGCGAGCCTTTTTCCTCTTCCCTTTCCGCCCGGTTTTCCTTTCATGCTGCGTCTTTCGAAGCATGAGCGCGGGGCTCCAAGAGCCTTTGCATTTGGCTGAGGACAGCCAGTGTCGTAATACTAACAATTCTCCGAGCAAGCTCTCGGTTTGCTGCTGCCGCCGCCGCCGCCGCCGCGCCACGATCCACCCGCCCGCACGGTCGCCGTCGAAGCTCCGGAGGCCCTGAGGCAGGTTCCGGGGCTCGGCCGCGCCCAGCAATAACTCCCGGGGCTCGACAAGTCCTCCCCAGAATCCCCCTCCGGAAAGCCACCTGGGCTGCGAAGGTCTCTGCCCCGCTCCGCGAGCAGCGGCAGAGCGGCGGCTCGGACACGGGCTCGGGCGACCGGGAAGGGCACGGCCGCCCGGGAAGCACTTCCCAGGAAATGCTGGGAAACGCTCCTCCGCCCGCGAGCATTTCCCAGGAAAGCGACCGGGACGCCCCTCCTGCGCGCCGGGGCTCCGGGCGCGCTTCTCCCGGGGTGGCCAGCGCGGCGCGTTCACACAGCACGGGCGCCCGCGGGATCGCTCACCCGGACCGCGCGGTCGCTCCTCGCGGGCAAGCGGCGCCTCCCCGTCCTCCGCGGCCGCCCCGGCGCTTCCTCCCCGCGGGCTGGGCTGCCCTGCCCCGCCCCGGCCGCCCCCGCCTGAACGCCCCTGCCGCTGGGAGGAGACACGCGTCACGTGTGCAACCGAGCCTTGCCCGGGATTCCCTTGCCCGTGCGGATCTCCCGGCGGAGTTGCCTTCTCGAGGAAGGCAGCCTCGCCGCCTCCCTCGCGGGCTCACCTCGCGCTCGGTCGCCCCCGGGACGAGACCGCCGGCTTCCCGGCTGGAAGCCGCGGGGGGGGGGGGGGGGTGTTCCCCTTTCCTAGCCCAGCTAAAGGGAGGGAAGGGCCTCCATGGCCCTTCCTGGAACATGGAAGATTTTGTTTTCCAACCGTGGAAGCCGATGAATCTCAGCAAAAGTGGCGGTGGCGGCAGATGGTGCCTCTGAACACGTGCAGAGTGACCTCACTTCCCCCTCCGTCGGTTCTGGCCCTCCTGGAGTTATGGGCAAAAGGGAGTCAGTAATTCCGGGAGATTTCTAGGCAGATTCGGAGGAGCTGAACAACCAGCCCTGTGAAAAGATCTGGGACGCATGCCCACTGGGAAAAACGGTGCATATTTGCATAATAAATATTTGCACATGCAAACTGAGGCATGCGATAAAGCCCTGCCTTCAAAGGAGTCCGTCTCCTGTAGCAAGAAGCATATGGACAGGGAAGTCCTGGCGTTTGCTTTCAGAAAAAAATCCAGGTAGAAGATTCAAGGGGGGCTGCAGGAGGGGGGGCCCTGCGGGCCAAAAGCCAGCCCATCCAGGGGACCCGAGGCAACAGGGATTCCAAGGACTGCTGAACCTTTCTCAGCGAGTGCCCCTGGACAGCAGGAGGTGGGCATTGGACATCCAGGGATTCGGGGTGCCAAAAGAGGGGCTTGGGGGCCCAGCCCTAATGGGCCAGCCCCCAACATTGCTGGAAGTCCAGGGTCTGGCGGGCTGGCAAGCAGCTTGGAAAACACGGCACTTGTCTCCACAGTCAAGCCAGCTTCCAGGCCTTCCAGAGTTCCCGTCTCCGTCCTGTCCACCCAAAAGCTCCACCCAGTCCGGCAGAGGCGAGTCTCGGTGAGAGATCCAGGTTGGCGAGAAGCGTTTTCCAGCCCTCGGCTCTGCAACCTCTCCTGGAATCAGCCGGCCTGCCTGCCTGCCTTCCTCGCGTCCTTTCTCCCAAAGGGTCTGAGCGACCAGGAGTGCCAGGGCCCTCTTGTGCCCCTCTTAGCCCTGGTAAAGAGCTCAGACAGGGTGGGAGGGTCTTCTGAGAGGCTCTGGGGGGTTGCAGGTGGATTCCGTGGACTGGGAGCTTTCCAGGGCCACTCCAGGCACCAGGCTTGGCGGAGTGGAGAGAGTAACGCCAACCACATGCAGAATGACCTCTCTTCCGTTCATGACTTCCCAGAATTAGGCTTGCAAGCTGATCCAAACCCAAATCTGCGGCTCGGGATTAATTTTCTTGTCCTGCTCAGTGCCGCCCATAAACAACAACGGGGGCAGCAAGGCCTTTAGTGGGTTTTGTGAGTTGGCACAAGACAGCACTCACTCAACCCTCCTCGTGCTCGCGGCAGGTGCATGGGAGCCTTCTTGGCCTCTGTGGAAGGCTTGCCCAACAGCAGTTCTGTAAGGCAGCACAGCCCCACTCAAAGGGGCTGTCTCCAGCCTTCAGCGCCTGCCCCATTTTTTCTAAACAGGTGGGTCTCAAAGCAGTTTACATACAGAAGCACAGAAACAGAGCGAGTCAGAAGGGGCCTCCTGGGCCCTCTAGTCTGACCCTCGGCTCCAGCCGGCTCCGCTCACGACAAAAGCAACGCAAAACAAAGCAAAATCGATTCACAAATGCATTAAACTTGCTGCCGCAAGAACAGAGCATCGGAAAAGCAGGCTGTGCGTTTCCTGTGGGAAGCAAATGCCAGAAAATGGGATCTCTGAGGGCTGATACAGCGAGGCTTATGCTCCATTCCCCTCCCAGTTCAGAAGGAGCATCTGATCTGCCCGGCTGAGGCAGAATTCCAACCAGAGTCTTCCAGGTTCGTTGCTTCCCTGGGATTCAGGGTGCAGCTTCCCCGTCGAAGATGTCTGGTCATTAGCCACTCCCAGCTCATGGTAACGCTGTGCATTTCTTCTGGTTCTTTCCTGCAGGGAGCCAAGCGATCTTGGAAGGAAGATGGCCACTCTTGGAGATTTGCCGGAACATTTGTTGCTGGACGTCCTGTCCTTTGTGCCTTCGAGGGACCTGATTCTCAGCTGCCGGCTGGTGTGCCTGCACTGGCGAGCCCTGGTGGACATGCCAGTTCTCTGGAAGCGCAAATTCCAACAGAAAGGCAAGGACTCCGACGAGAAAGAACTGAAAGCCTTCTACATTCTCTGCCACCTGGAGAAGAACTTAATCAGCAACCCTTGTGGTGAAGGTATTTGTGCCTGCTTGCCCGCGATGCAAGCTATTTGTTTACTTAAATGTAAATTTCCCAGACTTAAGAGACATGTAACAACCACCATCCACCCATCCAGTCATTCAGTCATTTCTACAGTGCCCAATAGCTGAAGCTTTCTGGGAAGATTACTGTTCATAAAAGTAATCCGATAAAATACCATGAAAACTTTGCAAAATGCAAACAGAATGAAAAACAGCTAAACAGGCAAGAAGGGACAACCCTGTCAAAACATCTGGGTTGCTTAATCCCCTCAAGCTGTTAAATATTCCTGTATTGCTAATTACAAGGAATTATTTGTAAAAATAAGCTCATTTATTTTTGGGGGCAAACTTCACACCGCAACAATCACACCCACTCCGCCTTCACTGCCTGTCTTTTTTCTCTCCCACCCCCCACAGAGGGCTTGGACTTCTGGGAAACCAGGACATCCCCAGAAGGCCAGTGGAAAATCGAGGAAATATCGGAAAACGACTCATTGGAAATTGAAACGACTGACGTCCTTCTGAGAAATATTTATATAAAAGATGAAGACATTCCCTACCAGCACATTAAGAAATGCTTCGCTGCATATAATGGGTGAGAAGGAGGCCCACGTTTGGGGCTGGGATTTTTGGAGATGGAGAAGTAATTTTCCTTTCTTTCCTGATGGGAATTCTCACGTGAACCCTATGTGAGCCTTCCTGCAGAAACAGACCTTCCAAACTCCCCAAAAGAAAGAGAGAATCTGGCCTCAGGGTAGATGTTCCAACCCTAATCAAGATGTAAATAGATATTTTTTCAGATCTAACAGTATCAAATTTATCCCATCTCCTGGTCAAAACGCCTTTCAGCAAAGAAACCCTTCTCAGCTCCTTCCATTCTTCACTTTCTCCGGATGTTTCAGCCACAGGAAATAGAGCTTTGCCCAAGAATAAAAATGCAGGAAATGCATGGCTGCAGGCCAGCTTCCCACCACATTCTGCAGCCTGCTTCCCACAGAGACCCCCCAGATAAGAGGAGGGAGCCCATGTGCAGAGTGGGGGCACATAAACGGCGAAGAGGGGCTGCCGCTAATTCTCTGATGTTGTGCCGCAGGCTCGGCATCAAGTCTCAGTGGGTCACCTTGAAGGACCACGGCTACTGGGACGAGCTGATCGACGAGATCAACCCCACGATCGTGGTGAAGGACTGGTGCGTCGCGTCACATCCCGCCCTCGCCCTGAGGGTGGGCCCCCCGGGAGGGTGGGGGCCCAGGGGCGCTTCTGGGAGGGAAGCGGAACCGTGCAAGAGAGCCGAACGATGGTTGCGGTTCATTAAAGGGGAAGAGGAGGAGGTCTAAGTGGACTGGGCTGCAGGACCTTGGACAGCTCCGGGGCAGCCATGTTGCTCCCGCACAGTCAGGCCTCAGCAAATGTGCCTCGGCAGGCCCTGGGGCCCATCCAGGCCCTGCCTTCCCACAAGTGCCCGCTTGAAGGATTAATTTTTGCTCAGCTGAAGGAAAAGGAGGGATATTTCTGAGCCTCCTCACTGGCTGGAAGGAGATTTCGGAAAGCCACCACTGATCAGAGCTCTCCATGGAAGCAGAAAGGAGATGGAGCAATATAGCTATAGAATAACATCAACAACAGCCATTTTTTCTTTCCTCACAGTCGCATTTTCTATTTTCCATTTTTTCCCTTCCTTTTCTGTTTAGTTTATGAGGTTTAGTTTTATATGGTTTTAAGAACTGTGGTTTTATTATTGTACTATTTTAATTTGATACTATGTAAGCCATCCTGAGCGCTTGTTGAAAGGATGGGATACACATGTTTGTAATAATAATAATAATAATAATAATTATTATTATTATTAATAGGCAATTCACAACAAATCACAAAAACACGCAGGCACAACTTACAGTAAAATTCAGCATAAAATGTTTCCAGTATGCCACACTTTTTAAAACAAGAGCTGCTGGAAGAATAGACGACTTTCCTAGGCAGCTTAGAGAGGCAAGCAGTTCAAGTCAGGACAGGTGTCTATGAGTTTCTTCCGCAGGATTGGGGCCCCCTCCCTCCCCAAAAACTCCCCAGGGGAACAACATACCTCAGCAGCCCCAAGGATTTGTCTCTGCACCCCAAGCCGGGAGCCCATGGCAGGTGTGGGTCTCGCTCTGTGCGTCATCCGCTTGGAGAGTCCTGCTGGAATATTGCTTAAGCAGAGTATGAATCCCATAATGCGTAAATAATCCCTCTCTCCCCCATTTCCTCCGAACAGGTATTACTACACCCACCGTTGCTACTACCGACTGTGTGTGAAACTGCTGTCGGCCGAATTTGCAGTCCTTCAGGAATACTGCTCTGGAGATGAGTACAAATGCGACTTGAAAGACAATGAATGGCGGGAGGTAAAGTGAATACTGGTTGAAAGTGTGGCTTGGATGGGGGACCCCATTGCAGCCGACGTGGGACCCCCCCGGGGAGAAACGGCAGCCATGTCTCGGACTGCTTAGAAAAGCCACGTGACGGAAGACATGATGGCGTAGATCGAAGGCTGCCTGATGCAGAGGAGGTGGATGGGGGGCATTTCCCTTCAGCTCCCCCAATACCAGAACCCTAAATGGGTCATCTTAAAAAGGATTCTTGGTGGGAGATTCAAGACACGTCAAAGGAAGGGCTCCCCCACGCAGCACGGAGATAAATGATGGCATTCACTTCCGCATGATGGCCACCAGTTTGCATGGCTTGAGAAGAGGACCGGGCGGATCCGTCATGGAGGATGGGCTATGGCTCTCCGCAGTATCAGAAGCAGTGTGCCAACCGCAGTTGCCGGGGAACATGGGCGGCAGGCACTCCCGTCCTGCTTGTGCGATCCTTGCAGCAGCTGATGGCCACTGCAACAGGGCAGGGATGGGCTTGGTGGTCCGATCCAGTACAGCTCCTCCCAAGTTCTCACGTTCCTAGCAAGGGCTGTTCCTGCTCCCCTTCTCCTTCTGCCTCAGCCCAAACCCAACAATTCCTCTTTCCCTCCCTCCTCTTTGCACGCAGGTTTCGTGCACTTTCAACAGCTGCCCTCCGGGAGTTCGCCACATCCTCTTTCAACACCAGGGCCAACACATTAACCTGAGCCACTCCAGGGGCAGGATGAGAATCACCAAAAGCAGCATCACGGTCGGCCCGTTTTCTTGCTATCAGTTCTTACGCCTCGACACGCGAAGGTCTAATATCTCCAGCCAACGGTAAACTCTTTTGGAGCACCTTCACACACAAAGACATATCCCAGTCTCACTTCGACCTGGTTATTCGCTCTCTTTCTCTCTCTCCCAATTTTGTCCCCAGGTTTCAAACGACTCTGCCCAACACCTCCACTGCAGGTCACCTAAAGACAGACTGAGGAAGCCCTCACCATCTGCCCGGTTTCTTTGGACAAATCCGTATTTGGGCAAATGAAGTTGTCATGACGAAAACCGATCACTGGATTTAAAAACGGGGAGCCCTTTCTGGGGGTCATGGTCTCCAACGAGCTCCATTTCCCTCATGATGTCCGTCAGCTGCTCTGGCCTACATTTGAGCCAAGCATATTTCTGGGTATTTAAACAGGACAAAACAAGACTCCAGGGTTTTTATAGGGGGAAGGCTAGGATGAAGATGGGAATGGACTCCTGCATTGAGGTCCTTTCAGACAGTGGAGGTTCGTCTGCTTTCACAGCGCGATCTGGAGGGACACAAAACCAAGTACGTTTTTGGTTACAACCTTCTGGACATAATTTTCTTTCCAGAGCAGCAAAGTCTCTGCATCTCTGGATAACTCTAGACTTACTTGTGAAGCTCTTTGGATTCTTGGAAGTGAGGCCTGGACCCAGGTAACACAGTGAAGATCCTAAAGCCGGAATAAATCTCTCTCTGCATGTTTTCCCCCCGTCTTTTTGTAGAATTCGTGTCTTTGACTGCCTGGGCTGGCTTCTGCAGGAATATTTCAAGCTCCTTGTCCTGCGTTCTGGGCCATAAAGAGCACACCTGCAAAACCGTATGATTTCTTAGAAACAGAGAAACAGAGTGAGTCAGAAGGGGTCTCCTGAGCCATCTAGTCTGACTCCCGGCTCCTGCCAGCTCCACTCACGACATGCCTCCCATGTGCATGTCCAAAGAGTTTCAGAAGAGTGTAACTGTTAAAATTCTACCATGGGGTTTCCTGGAATAAAGGGGTCTCACTGACTGGGGGGTGTCCATTTTGTAAGGCCAGCCTGTGTGTTTGACAAATTGGGTGCACAACACAGAGAATAAAAGGACCATTCTTTGGATAGTTTGTGCAATGTATCGCTTTGGGCATCACTCTGGGGAAAAAGCAGTTCCCCGATGCCCTTTGTACTCTGCTTGTATAGATACCGACTTATTTAAATATTTGTGGTGTAGCGAACTCTGCCCCATGAAAGGGCTTGCCAAAATAAAGCTGTAAAAGCCCCCATCCTGTGCATATTTAGACAGAAGAGAAGGCCTGCAACTCTCGGCACACGCCGGCCAGTTTTCCCCGGAATGTGCATGCAGATACATGTTCAGTCTTTTAAGGAAAAAATCGACTCCTTATGGGGTTTCCTGCAAACGACTTGCACAATCGCTGCTTTAGCATCGGGGTCTCTTGCTGCCAGGGTCCGTCAGGGGTCAGGCTTGGGGGCCAAGGGGAGCCAGTTTTCCATCCCACAGGGTCATGCACTCGGGTCCAAAGGCTGCCTCGGAGGAGCAAAAGGGAAGCTCCATTGCAGAACTGCAGGAGACCCCAAACTTCCCTCACTCCACCTTTTGCATGAACTAGGTCTTGCAGGTTTCAAATTCCACTAGAAGCCAAGCCACATGGTCCTAGAGGAAGTACAAAGTGAAATGCATCACAAGACCAATCTAGCTTCTCTCTTTCCATGCTCTGCTCTGCTCTTCAAATTCCCCAAAAGACTGGTGTGGTTTTAACTAGCTTTGTGCACAAATGGCCTCCAATTTTTTATTTAGGTTTGCAGAAACAGAGCAATAAGCTCACTGCATTTTCTGAGGGGGTAGATAAATTCTCCCAATAGGTTCTCATGGGTAAGGGTCCCTTTTGGCTTGTTTCGCTTTTCCCTTAACGCTTTTGGGCGTGGGGTTTTTGCTGCTACTGGAAGCCACGTGTCAAAACCGGGTTGGCTTCTTGGCCCCCATTTTGCACTGAACACAGTGCAGGTGTGAAGAGGAGGTACGGGATTCCAGTTGCAGGAATGCACGGAGCTGGTGCCGAAATGGAAGAATCGGAGCGCTGACCCTGGTGGACCATCTTCCCAACACCACGTCTGCTTTTCCAGTTTCATTTCTTGTAAAGCAAACCCACCATCCTGTCTGTACCCTTCTTGGACAACCATTTCATGTTGGTCAGTCTGGCCTATGAAGACGCCTGCTCTGCGGCTACACTCCGAATCCTATGATGCAACGGTGACAGAGTTTTATTTTCGTCACACACACACATTTCTCTCATCCTCTCTCTTATATATATTGCCTTTGTTTGCTGTTTTTAATGTGTTTATCATAAACTTCCAAGTGAATCTTATTATATCTAGGCAGAAAAAAAATAATCTCTCAACATGGCCGGACTTACATCTAAATTCTAAATACGTCCTATTGTAAAGCTTCAGGCACTGCTCCTTTCTGCTTGCTCCCTCCCTTGCTTGGTGCCAAGTCCTGGTTAGGACAAAATGTTCCTAATCCCCATCCTTCTACCCTTTCTTGGGGCTTTTTTCAACGTGTTTTCTCACTTTCTTCGTTTTCATTGGTCCTCCAAAGCACACCCGGAAGGCCTCCAACCAAGAGATGGGAGGCGCCTCTTTGCTTTCGTGATCTCTGCTTCGCAGCCCGGCCGAGGGCTTTCCACGCGCTGACAGCTGCTGCTTTGCATTTTCTCCTTTCGCGATCTGCTTTCGGCTGGGGGCCCCTCGGGGCAGAGCCCCTTGCCCCCGGTTCTGCGCCCCTTCCTAGATCAGGTAGCGCCCCATCCCCAGGAGGGCCGGGATGCGAGGAGGAGGGCTGGGGGGAGATCCTTAGGACACCCAAGGATCGGGGGGGGGGCGCCGCGTGGCTTCTCCGCACCGCGCCTGGGACCTCCGCGCAACAGCTGTGCACGTGAGAACGCAAAACGCCTGGCCGGATCAGCGTTAAGAAGCGGGCGAGGTGAGGCCGGCTGTCTGGCATTTCCTCTTTCTGGTGACCCCTCGGGGCGGGGATTGGCGTGCCTTGTTTTGCTCCACAAAATAGTGGAGGGAACACCCTTCCTCTAGGAGGGCTTGCAAGGGCCAGGGGGCCGGGCCGGGGCCTCAGCCCCCACCAGACGACGGGGTAGGGGGCACAAGGGAGGCCGCCCCCGCCCCGCTCCTCTTTTCTGAAAGGGAAAGCGAAAATAGCAGGGGTTTTCCTGCCAAGCAAGAAAGGAAGCCCCAGATCTGGGCACCAAGATTTAAGAAGGATGCAGGAAAATTAGAGGAGGGCAACAAAAACGATCCGGGGTTTGGAAACGCTGCCCTGTGAGGAGAGACTGAGAGAACTGGGCATGTTTGGCCTTGAGAAGAGAAGATTGAGAGGGGACAAGATATTCCTCTAGAAGTACCTCCAAGGCTGTCCCAAAGAGGAAGGTCAAGATCTCACTGATACCAGAGTGCAGGACATGGAATAATCAATTCAAGTTGCAACAGCCCAGATTCAGGCTGGACTTCAGGAAAAGCTTCCTCAGGGTCAGAGCAATGCAACACTAGAACCAGCTGCCTGGTGAAGTGGCGGGCTCTCCCTCACTGGAGACATTAAAAAAGAACCTGGACAGCCATCCAAGTGGGATGGTGTGACTTGGTGTCCTGCAACAGCAGGGGGCTGGACTAGATGGCCTTCATGGCCCCTTCCAGCTCTACTTTTCCAACTCTGGATTCTCTGATTTTCTGAAACAGCAACCCAGTGAAAAGAAGGAGAAGTGACCCAAGAGGGGACAGCCCAGTCTTCACTTCCCACAAAAGCTCTCTTGGCTGCATTAAGCAGTGCATTTCTAGGCCCACTTTCAGGGACAACTGTCAATTTATGCTTCAATGGGCTCTGTTAAGAGTGGACAACCCTGCAAGGTTGCTGTGCACACGGTTTCTCTCTTGCATGTGCAACCCTCCAGAAGTGCAGATGAGTTTAAAATCACACACACTCAAACACACACTCTCTGCTATATGCAGCCGGGCCTGACCCCTCTTTGCTTTTTCTCTCCCTCCCCTCCCACCAGCGGCTCTTCTTCCCAGCTGCCCAGGCCTTCCCAAAAGAGGAATGGTGAACATCAGAGACTTACCCGAAGACATCCTGATGGATGTGCTGGTTCGGGTCCCTGCCAGGGAATTGGTCCGCAGCTGTCGGCTGGTCTGTACGCTCTGGCGGGACGTGGTCGACCTCCCAAGCCTTTGGAAGCGCAAGTTGCAAGACGAGGGGTACGACCTTCGGACGTCAGAGAGGAACCTGCCTGACTGGCGGACTTGCTACTTCCTGTGGACCCTGAAGAAGAACTTGATCAGGAATCCGTGTGCTGAAGGTATGTCCCAGGCCGGGCTGTGTCCCCCATGAGCATCCTGGGAATTGTAGTTCCATGGAGGGGCTGATTTTCTCTCTGCTTTCTTTATCGCTTTGTTTTTGGTACCCTTTTTCTACAGAGGGTTTTGACTTCTGGGAAAAAGAATCCAACGGCGGCGATGGATGGAAGATCGAGACGCTCCCCGGAGACCACGGAAGGGTCTTTCCTCATCCGAATGTCCAGAAGTACTTCGTCACGTCCTACGGGTGAGGATCATGTCCTTGTTCAAGTGAGGATTCGGCACTTCCCCGCTGCTTTCCACCCACACTGGGCAGGTGCCTTGCCTTGCCCGCTTTCAGCGTCTGGGCGCGACCAGAAAATGGCTCCCGACTCGCAGCATGCTGGGAGTCCCATGACCACACGCAGCGTCTGTTCTGCCTTCGCATTTCCTCGTGCAGAGAAAGCGCACACACGACGAAGACGGAGATACAAACAGGATGCCCCACGAGGACCCCTCTCACCCACGTCCCTGCGCAAGTCGGGGTGCTGTCTGAGTGTGCGGGGATTATATTTGGGCGTTAAGCTTGGGGCTGAGCCTCGATTTAGGCTGGAATGTGCCAGACAAGCGCCCTAACGTCTCGGCTGTGTCCCCACTCAGGGCCTGCATCAAAACCCAGCTCGTCACCCTGAAGGAGCACGGCTACTGGGACCAGCTGATGGATGAAATCAGGCCGGATATTGTAGTGAAGGACTGGTCAGTATAGACTGGTTGGGCTTGGGAAGTGAAGGGTCGGACCATTCCACGTTCTGCCTCACAGGACGCTGCAGGGATGTTGCAGCAGCTGGACCAGGCCCAGCTGCCATACAGCGAAGGGGAACCGAGGCTGGAGAGCAGAGGACTCCAGAGTCTTCTCCTGGCGTGACAATTAAGCTTTGAAAAAAGAAAACTTCCTCCATTGCCTTGGGATGTCCTTGGGCCAGGGCGAAAGCAAAACAAACCGGCTGTGTCAATTCACCCGGGAGAGAGACGTAACAACCCCCAGGCAACTATTTCTAAATAGCTAGAGCTGCTTGAGCAAATGTTGCTTTGGTGCAGATTCGTTTCCAACAGGCCAGGGAGGGTGAACTTTTTACACGCCTGGCAACGCTGCCAGGCCGCCGAGCTAGCCGGATGCCCCAAAGGGAAGCCCCTGAGCAGGGCCTGAGAGCGAGGGCACCCCACCCCCTGTTCCCCGGCGCTTGGGACCAAACAATGCCCGAGGGAGACGTTGGCAGCCGTTGTAACTCTGAGCCACTGCTCCTCCTTGAGAGCAAGGCAATCCCTTTGCACGGCGGCGTGCAAACCGTGTGTGTTCTCGGGTGTAGCCACCGGCACCACCTTGTCTCTGTGCCGCCCTGGCTGGAGACCCCCGAAACACCAAGGCGGCGAGGGTGGGCCTGTGCACTGCTCCGTTCATTGCCACTGAGATGCAATTCAGTGGCAATTTAATGTTTATAGTTTTAATTATAATTATTTAACTAATTGTGGTAAGCCGCCCCGAGGCTTCGGCGAATGGGGCGGCGTAAAAATGTTTTAATAAATAATAAATAAATAAATTCCCGGCATCGCTCGCCCTCGGCCACGCTGGCCAGGGCTGGTGAGAGCGCGGCCCCCCAGGACTTCCTGCTGGGGTGACCCCACCGCAGTCTAACACACAATGTCCTCCTGTCGTTCTCTCCCCCGCACGAAACGCCAACCCAGGTATGCGGCCCGCTTTGATTGTGGCTGCCTCTACAAGCTCCGCGTGAAGCTTCTCTCGGTCGACTACATTGTCCTTCACGAATACCTGCCTGAGGATGTGTTCATTGAGCAGTGGAGTAACGCGGAGTGGCACGAGGTACGGGAACGGCGTGGGGGGCGAGGCGGGCGATTCTCCGCATCCTCAGGGCGACTTTGGATGCAGCTTGCCGCAGTGACGCCAGGCTTCTCGGGCCTGGCTGAAAATATAAACTTGTCGCGGTGTGAGACTGTCATGGCTCACACTTGCCGAGTGCAGCTTTCTCCAGGGTGGCACACTCTGGATGCATTGGACTACAGTTCCCATGATCCCCAGGCAAGGGGGTGATGGGAGTTGTAGTCCAGGGTATCCAGAGGACGCTGGAAAGGGTGGATGAACTTGACAGGCGGTCTTATGGAAGATGGGACCAGAAAGAAGTTTGCATGATCGAAGCGTCTTTAGATTGTGTTTAGACTGATTTAGATGTGTTTAGATTGTGAGTTTAATTGGCATTTTATCGTACAGAATGGATGCTGTGCTTTACTTTGTTTTATCATAAGACTGTCTTGAGACTATTTGGCAGTGGATGGTATAGAAAAGTTTTCAATCAATCAATCAATGTCTTCCACTTCTTTCTCTCTCTCTCTCTCTCCCCTTCTGCCACTGGCTTCAGGTTTCGTACACGTTTCACAACTACCCTCCCGGCGTCCGACACATCCTCTTTTGCCACGGGGGCCACGACATACAGTTCTGGGCAGGCTGGTACGGCGTCCGAGTGACCAACAGCAGCATCTCCATTGAGCCAGAGGTGGCCGATTCCTCCTGAGACCCGTCGCCGCCTTGAGACACATGCAGACAGCAACAGCTGATGCATGTATGAGAAAAGCGCCCCTTGGGGGAGGACAGCTGTTCCACCCACTCAAGGGTGGTGGTTAGCCGTAGAGCGCCCTATTTCTGGTCTATAATCCCAGCTGGAGCTGACTGGCTGGCCCATGTGCCATAAAGGGACACCTTCTCGGCTGCCCGTGGTACCAAGCAGCAGGCTGTTTGGGAAGTGGAACAAGGAAAAAACACGGAGGAGCCACAGTGGCGGAATGTGGCCAGGTTTGCTCGATCGGGTTAGGAAACGGGCGACGTGGATGCACCACCGAGCCAGCAAAGGCTCAAAGGTTACCACGGCACAGTAGCACATCATGCAGTGGTTCTTGGAAAAAGAGTTGTTCTCTTGTCTTTTGGCAACCCGCGCATAAATAAAACGGTTCAAACACCCACTTGCATGAGTCCAGAAACTTGCTCGGTTTAGCACTAGCCCATGTGACCAAAAGAAAACACAAGGACCACATACACAGGAATGGAGAGGTGAAGAAAGCAGGGAAGCTGGGAATGGTGTGTGTGTGTCGCAGAAGTGGACAGATGGGGTGGGGGATAGAGATGCAAAAAAAAAAAAAAGATGGAATAAACTGCAGCCCAAACTTTCTTCAAAGATTGTCTGCCCATAGAAAAGTGCTTTTGAAAAGAAATTCGCGAGTGCAGAACATGTTGGAGAAATTCTCATGAATTGGGTTTCTCACACTTTCCTTGTGACCAAGGGGTGTGTGAGAGTGACCTGCCTTTCATTGTACGATCTTCTTGGGCACCTGCAGTCTCCTTGGCTTTCTGCGGGCACCTAAAGCCAGAGAAGGCATCTAAAGGAAACTCTAGGGGGGCTTTTTCAACTCCGGAAATGCCGGCAGTCCAGAAACCCGCATGGTTCACCAGGAGAACTGAGACAGAAAGCAGATGCACCCAGTCTGTCCAGCTTGCATCGATTGGGGAAGCTCCAAAACTTCACCTTCCTGTTTCCAATGCCAGCATAAAAGTAGAGAACATCTACTTAGAGGCATTGCAAAATGACTATTTTTGTATTTTTCGTCCCAAAAAGGAGAGAGCGGTCACATTTCTCCTCTAGTTCAGGCTTGATATCGAAAAAGGCTGTTCTATTTCGGGAGCTAAGTCAGAAGTAGGCGGGAAATACTACTGCTGATTCATTCACAGCACGTAGAAAGCCCTAGCGATTTGACCACATCTAAAACAGGAAAGAAAAAAAAGTGGCGATAGTCACTTTGAAACCTGAACTGCCGATTAGATCGTTGCCACTCTTCACTTTATTTATGTTGACGGATAGCGGCAACGGCTGGGTCAGTGGCAGCGGCGCGATGTGCGCATGCGTGCGACGGTGCTGGCTTCCTGTGGTCCTTTGGAGCGACTCACCTTGGCTGTTGCCATGGCGACGCGTCCCGGCGGGACTGCGGCCGCATCAGGGATGCTCTCCTGGCAGTAGAACAATAGCTGCTCTTCACACAATACATACAAGGCCACGCGCATTCTCGTGCCCGTTATTGTGGGTCGCTGTCACGTCACGACCTGCTGTTCTTCCCAAACAGTAAAATAAAAAGTTTAATGCCCACATGCAAGTTTATTGTTTTAAGAGAAGCAACAGGATGTGATACCTTCTCTTGTAAACATCAATGCATACCAACCTACTACCTGGTGCTGACCTGATGTCCTGGGGACTATAACCCCCATCCAGCATGGTCATTGTTTGGGATGATGGGAACTGTAGTCCAAAACTTCTGGGGCTCAAGGATGTCAAAGTGACACATCAACAGGACAAGTCATTGTGGCATGTGCATGAAACCAGTGCTGATTATTTTTATCATCCATCTCACCTATTCAACTCCAGTCCTTCCTCCAAAGTGGCTTACATTTTATCCGCAAAGCAGCTCTCTGGGGCAAGCTGGAATGAAAGTTATTGATGCTCCTGAGACCAGCCAGCAAATGGAGCACTGGCTAAAGAATGTATTCAAAGCATTTGTTTAAATCAGATATGCCTTGTTTGTGCCATCTTAATCCTTACAAAGTGCTTGGAGTCTCAATGAGAAACGCAAAAACAAAAAATCAAAGATATTTCCAAAATATTGGGTCCATCCAGGTGAAAACAACAGAAAGGAATTGTGCTGCTCTTTTGACTTTTCTTGCATCACCAAAGAAGCAGTGGGAAATAAGAGGCATACAAATACATCATGATACTTGGGAAATATAAAAGTCATATGGATGAGAGATTGCACAAAAAGAACCTCACCTCCTCTGAAAGTATCTCAGGCAAACACTCTTTGACATCCGAATGGCCAGCCTGCTCATATTTGGCAATATCAATTGACCCCTGGCAATCCTATCAAATTTTAATCCAGAGGTAGTCAAATTCTCACATTTCTCCTTCCGCAGATTTTTTCTTTAAAATTTCCCAGTTGTACAAAAGACAGTAATTCCACACTTCAAATAAACTTTTAGTTCTGTTTTTAAGTTAGCATATATCAGTTGCACATATGAAATACTACTACTCCTCATCATCGTCATCATCTTTTTCCTCTTGTAAGGAACCCATGGTGACCTACATGGTCCTCCTCTCCATTTTACGCTCACAACAACCCTGTGAGGAAGGTTATGGCAAGAGTCAGTGACTCAGGTTTCCTGGCCGATCAGAGATGGGGTCTCCAAAGCCCCAGTTAAAACTCCAACTGGTACCTTGCATACTTTTCAAAGACCTGGTCACTTGCACAAAGAATTGCATCCTTTGCACAAAGAATGATGTGTTTTGTGCAAAGAAGGCACTTGGGTTCCCCAGCGCTTGTACACAGCTCAGCTTGCTTCCTGGCCAGAGCAGATGGCAGGAAAGAAGTCCAGTCAGGCCTGATCTTCGGATACCTGGAATTGTGCTACATAAAAATGATCCGTCTTAATCCACCTGCACACGGCTCTGGTGACTCACCTGTCCGTTTGGCCGATGGCTTCCGAAGTACTTTGTTCGGCTTCTGAGAGATGAAAGGAACTTCCGAATGGGATCGGTTTGGCAGAATGCTTTGGAGATGAAAAGCGTGATGGGAAACATAACATATAATTAAGGACGTTTTTTATTATTTTTGCTTCTCAGAGAGTAAGAGGCTGAATGAATATTTCTTCTGACAACTCCTATGATATAAATAGCCACCTAGATTTACAACACCCAGGTGTAGCAACTGTCTTGGATACTTTTCACTTGCTCTTTTCCAGCTTCTTTTATCACCCATGAATCATGGCTTCTTGTCTTCCTTCCATACCTTTTTATTTCTTGGTGCAAATGATCCTCTCTTTTGCTCAGCATGACAAGAATCTGCCGTTGTCACATGGTATCCACTGAACTCCTGGTTTTCCATCTGATCCAACTCACTTCCCTACTCAGCAGCTTATATACACGTAAGTTGCTGTACAGGTTCTCTTTATCATCGCTACATTAATGAGCTGGCGTGGCACCATTTCATCCCAACATTAATGAGCCGGTGTGTCATTCTCAGGCAAGTTTGCCTCGCAAAATGGTTTCAGTACCTCCTCCAACTTGTTTATGTATTGGGCTGCAGGAGAAGGCATTGCTCGTCATTCCCGGGAAGAATCTCGTGCCAGTGGTTGGTCTGTACCGGGGATGGAGGTATTCCACCAAAGCAGAGACGAGGCTGGGATTTTGTCATTTTTGTCCTCACGGATCCCCGCCAGGCGTGGAGGCCTATCCAGGATCTTTGGAAGGAGCTGAAGCTGAAGGTGAGCAGAATAATTTTCCCTCTGTGGAAGAAAGACAAGCATCAGGATGGAAGTGGTGCAGGCAGCCTTCGAGGATGGCTGAGTGAGGGCACTCGGAGTCTTTGCTGCAGAGGAGTGAACAGAGGTGGTTCTTATGGCCAGAGCCCCCAATCTTGCCGTTGGAACCCCTAATTCTGGGAGGCCATCTGCCCCACCGGCCTGCTATCCATTTCAGCACCAGCTGGACGCAAGGTCCAGGGGCTGTGACGATCCCTGTTACATGATGAGTTGGCTTTTCGCCAATATGTGCTTCACCCCCCCACCATTCCCCCTCACTCTAGACCCTTTCTGCTTATTTTTTTCCCCTGAAACCAATTGCCTGTCCATCTATTCCCCTTTAAGGAATAGGGGTTTAATTAATGTAACTGTTTGGTGGTGGTAGCACTGATATTCACGCATTCTTTAATTATGTTAATGTTTAATTAGAAAAAAAATGTACTGTTTACAGAAAAGGACTAAAAATCAGGGAAAGCAAGGGAGTTGGGAAGGTGCCGGGAGAGATATCCTTAAACAATGCCAGCTGTGGACTCCATGATGGAGACCCCGATATTAGCACATGTGGGTTCATTCAAATCTCTCTGCTTTTGTGGGGTGACTGGTTCTTCCTCTGGGGAATCTTTACTTCTCCAAAGTTGGATCGTATGTTTGGGGTTTGGGCGTACACTCTGCATCCCTGGGCTAGAGAGCCCAAAGGGTGAAATCTGGCTTGGTAAAACCTGGATCCAAGTCCCTCTGTAGACGCAAACTTCTCTGGATAACCTTGGGCTCATCTAACCTACATCGCAGGGTTGTTGTGGGAATAAATTTGGGAAGGTGAGCCATTAGTATGGCACTCTGACCTTAAGAGAAGAACTAACATCACAATCTTATGCATTTTAGACAGAAAAAAACCCCAAATCCTTCAGCCTCCAGTATTTTCAGCCAGCAGTGCTAGCTTGAAAAAGTTGGAAGGTGGTAGGAATCCCCCTTGCTCTCAAAACTCCTACATAGGATTGCACCCGAAGCGAATATGAGGTGCCGGAAAAACACCACCAGTTTATGTCTTCATGCCAGCGCTGTGCATGAGGCCCAGGAATAAAAGTGGGAACTTTACTCTGCCAGAAACCTCAGGACTTCAAATAAAGCCCGACACCTGGGCCAATTACTTAATCCAGCAAGATAACAACACGGCAGGGAAAGGAGAACACCTGTCTGGGCTCGGTACGCACCCAACGCAACGAGATGGATGCTTTCCAACTGTTGCCCAGTCAGCTTTGCAAAGTCAGGCCGGGAGAGCCCCGCCTTCCCCTGGGTGCCCTGGTCCTCCTTATCTGCCCTGAGTCAGCAGCGCTGGGAGGTGAAATGTTTGCATGAGGAAGAGCTTGGAGGGATCCTGGATGCCAAAACAGGGCCAGCCTTACCCTTGGTCAGAGTGGGGCTGTGAATCAGGCGGCCAAGGCTGTGCAGAGGGGGTGGCAGCCCCCCGGCCTTTCCTTGCTGCTGGAAGATGAATTTATTTATTTATCTTTTGATTTATATCCTGCCTTCTTCCTCAAAGGGCTCAAGGCAGCTGACATCATTCTCCTCCTCCATCTTATCCCCACAACAACAACCCTGTGAGGTAGGTTGGGCTGAGAGTCTG